CTGTTAGTCTATCCATAAAATTTCTGAAGAAAACTTTATAAATTCCTATGAAAGTAAATATGCAACAAACTAAGCATTTAATTTTATAAGCTTTTATTCTGAAGACAGAATTGGAGTTGGTTGATTTCTTCCAAACTGTTGTTGCTGTTATTGTGTGTCTTGAAGTCCTTTCTGACTTATGGCAACCCTAAGCCAAACCTATAATGAGGTTTTCTTGGCAAGATTGTTCAGAGGGGGTTTGCCTTTGCCTACCTCTGAGGCCAAGAAAATGTAACTTGCCCAAGGTCACCCAGTGGGTTTCCATGGTTGAGTGAGGAGGATCCAAACCCTAGTCTCCAGAGTCCTAGTCCGATATTCCAACTCAACCCAAAATTGCTTCTGACTCCAGTTGCACAATTCCAACTCCACAGTCCTGGTAAGAGCTGTTGGAATAGAGATGCCTTGGTGGGAGGTGGACTCTGGAGGTCTTTATTAAATAGAGCAGGGGTAGGCAACCTAAGGCCCCGGGGCCGGATGCGGCCCCCAAGGAACCGGCCCCAGGCCAGTCCTGCTGCTGCCGTCCCCCGCCGCGGCCCGCCATGATGATATTGATTATTGTTGTTATTACTTCTTCTTGGCAAAATCTCCACAGCGGTTTTGCCATGGCTTTTCTGGGGCTGAGAGAGTGTGCATGCAAATTTATATTTTTTAAATTAAAAAAAATATTTTTATTTATTTATTTTTGGTGCTTCGGCCCCCCAATTGTCTGAGGGGCAGCAACCCAGCCCCCGGCTCAAAAAGGTTGCCTACCCCTGATTTAGAGGCTAGATGGACATCTTTCAGGAGTGCTGCAGTTGTATCTCCCTGCATGGCAGAGGATCGGACTAGATATGGTCCCTTCCAACTTCTATGATCCTTGTCCTAGAATCGCAGGGAAAAAGCATGATAGTTACACATTCTTTTCTTCCATATTATGAAGTGAAGGCCTACAGCTGCTCACTAGAGGTGTTACCTTTCTTGTGGAAGCTTATAGTTGGCTGGATGCAGACACATAGAGACAAAATCAAGTACGATAATACTGCTGCAGCTGCCTTGTGTGGAAATGCCTGACCTTTTGGATGCTTTACCCAGCTGATGGATTTGCCTCCAGCAATCACTGAGCAATTGTACCCTACCATTTTGAAAAGCAGTCCTGACAGTATATTAATTATCAAGCCTACATTGTAATGGGAGCATTTGCTGATAGAATCTGAATTCCAAGTTGAGTTTGCAGCTGTTCTGACTTTACAATGAGAATGAATTTAATCAAAGATTAGTTCTGTTATCCATTTCTCTTGTGCCTTACTGCTCGCATATTTCACTGTCATTTTTGTATCCTGTTTACTGTATCTTGCCTACTACATTCTTGTTGTATGTCTTCAAGTACTTTCTGACTTATGGTGACCCTGTTATCACAGCATTTTCTGGGTCTGAGAGTGTGTGACTGACCCAAGATCGCACACTTGTCCAGTGAATTTTTTCCTTGGCCAAGCGGAGAATGGAGCCCTAATCTCTGGACTCAAAAGTCCAGTGCTCAAACACTACCCTACACTAGCTCTTTTACAGTCTAGTCCCCCTTAAAATTAATGTAGAAAATCTTGATAGTTTCAAAGGAAATTTATCATGGCCAATTTCAAGATAGTAAGAGTTGTTTTTGAAGTGCCCAGTTCAACAGAATTGCTTGTTTCAGGCAAGACTTTTTGCAAACACTTCAGCAAAAGAGAGCATAACAAGGAGTTGTCTGTCATTCTATAATGTTTAGGTGACCCTCATTCTGGGATTTTAATATATTTGTACCTCACTCTTACTTCAACGAACATAGGATGTAGCTACCATACCTTATCCTTCCTTGCAATAACCTGCAAGGTAGCATAAGCTGAGAGGAAGAAAGGCAGCCATTTAGTTGAAACTTATGTCAAACTAGGCATACTCCCAAAGTTCAAGTTTGACTCCATATACATTATATCATATTCTGTTCGTTTATTCATTTGCTAAGCATGCATGCTGCTGTTTCTCAAGAATATAAGCCCTTTCTTTTCTTTTATTACTAGGTATTACTTTTCCATTTAAAGTCATAGAATCACAGAGTTGGAATGAGCAAGTAAATTACCAAAGGTGATTGCATATTTACAAAAAAACAGTAAATGAATTACACCACATGTATGTAGTGATTCCCATGCACCTATGTATTAATATATACATTTAACATTATAGGAAGCTGCCTCTTATTGAGTCGTGACATTAGTTCATGTAATCTGTATTGTCAGCTCTGACTGGCTGTGACACCTCAGGGTTTTAGGCTGGATCTTCTCTAGCCTTACCTTGAGAGGCCAGGAATTGAACTTGAGAGCTTTTGCCTGCAAAGCAGATGCACTACCACTGCGCTACAGCAGTCCATTGAAGAATTTAGCATGCAGTAAACTTGGACTTGCGTATTATTCAAGGATATCTGAAGTGCTAACTTACTGTAAACCTACTGTATCATTGCAGGCGTCACACTTTTTTTTTTTTTTTTATAAAAAGCCTGTTATTGTTAAATGTCCTTTTCTCTGAGTTAAACATTGAAATGAGAAATGCACAATGAAATAAACATGAAAGCAATGATATATATCTACATTTATCCATATCTGCCAATCCATCTATCATTCATATAGGTATATAAACAAATTCTCTAATTGTTTGGTGTTATTTGCTTGCAAGTCGTTTCTGACATGGCGACCTTATGAAGACCTTATCATGGGGTTTTCTTGGCAATATTTGTTCAGAGACAATTTGCTTTTGCCTTCCTCTGCAGCTGAGAGAGTGTGACTTACCCAAATTCACCCAGTATCTTTCTATGGCTGAGTGGTGATTCAGACCTTGGTCTCTAGACATGTAGTCCACTCTTCAAACCACTACACTATGCTGGCTCTTGAATTCCTCTAATATAGAAACCTAACTTCTATTGTAAATCCTAAATAGAGTTGTTGTTAGTAGCTGCCCTCGACTCCTGACAACCTTGTGGATGAGACATCTCAAACCAAACCAAACGAAAGAAACAACAACTCTGCCCTCAACTGCTCTGCTCAAGTCCTGCAGGCTCAGGCCCATGGCCTCCCGGATTGAGTCTAACCATCTGATTAAATAGAGTAGACCCACTGAATCAATGGTAAATTGGTAAGTCAATATTTATGTACCGTATTTTCCGGCGTATAAGACGACCAGCGTATAAGACGACCCCCCATTTTTCTAGTCAAAATACAGAGTTTTAGCACCTCTATCTTCATTATCCTTATACCCGGCGTATAAGACGACCCCCCCCCACTTTAGCCACAGATTGTGCAGGTTAAAAAGTCGTCTTATACACCAGAAAATACTGTAAATTCCATAGGTTTACTGTAGTTCACACCCACAATAGGGTGCAGGTCATAAAAAGATACACATCAAGTACTTTGTCTCAGTCTGGGAACTCTTTTTCATTGCAAGGGATTTGTTTGGGAGCCAGCCTTGGATACAGTGGAAGAGGGCGGCTCCCAATCTGTTCTGGGTTGAAGCCTACTATTTGGAAGAACCCAGATCAATTGGGCTGCATCATAACTACTCCTACTGTGGAGGATGTCACCTCCACACACTTAACTCAATTTCCACATACTTTTCTTCTTGCTCTTATCAGGATCCCTCTAATCTTCTTGGTCCTATTTGCTCTTTTCTCATAATATCCCAGCCCATGTCTCTTTCTTTTATTTCTTGTTTGCTCTGCTTGGGTACCTCTGCTGTCTTAAATTCCCCTATGAACCTCTTTCTGGAGTCATTCATTGCTTGGATCTTGTGCTACAAGTACTTTTATTTCACTAGTAAACTTTATCCACAATGGTCATATAGGCAAGACTTATTGAAAATAAAAGTGTGAAAGATAGGCCTGCCTAATCCCTCTGAACATGTTTCTAAGAGCTGGTATAGTGTAGTGAGTGAGAGGTTGTACTCCAGTTCAAATGCAATTCCAGTCGCAAACTCAGCAGAAATATTCTTATTCTTCTTTTTCTATTTGTATCCCACCTTTCTCCCAATATAGGGATCCCTTCTGTAATAATAACAGTGACCTACTTTACAGGGCTTGTTTTAAGGGTTACTGAGATGGTGTGTGTACAGCCCCATGAATACTCTGAAAAGCTATATAAATGTGAAATCTAAAGTAATATAATTTCACTGTATTGTTAAAATATTTGTATGTCAGTGTAAGCCATACATGGCCCCTTGCCACTTCCCACTTAACAAGCTGATGTTACAAGAGAGTTGTTGAAATTTG